TTGCATAAATTCAATAAGAATCTGTTCTCCTTGTAACAGTTCACCCTTGGAGATACTGGTTATTTTACCAAGGGTTTGACTGGAATGTCATATTTGAGAGCGACATGCATAGACTCAGATACGACCAGACAGTTTTAAGGAATTAAGGTTGACTTTATGAAGCATGAAGCCAATAAAGCCCCTTGGAAATGTTGGTCTGATACCTCACTTAGAGATTTCCCAGCAGCCTTACCAGGTGAGTAAAGAAGGTCACTTCCCGGCAGGTGCAGGAACCTCAGGATACCTTGGGGACCCCATGAAGAGGAATCCACCCGATCCTATAGGTATTGCAGGCATGTCTGATGGCAAGTACTTGGCTTGGCTTCTGGCCTGGCAAGGCTACTAAAAGTTCAGTCTAGAGATTCCTTATAAAAAGTTCCAGCAAATCAAATTTTAAAAGATCTATATGACCAATCACTGTCCTTGATGAGCTTATGTAAATAATTAGGCTGAGTTTGTTAAAAGTGGACTCATTCTACAAATGAATTAGTCTTGATTTGGCTCTCTCTGGAAATCAGGGTTACTAGAGAGAAAAATTATATTTCAATAACGCACCTTTGTGGATGTTAAATTCTAGTTCTGATTGCCTTTAAATGTTTGTTGTTTGCCTACACTAGACAACTTGAGGCAAACTTCAGAGAAATTGTCACAACACTCATGTATAGACAATCTTTGTGCCTGTTGCTCTACGGGCCATTCAGATGGATCACCACAGACATTTGAATTACAAACCAGAAAACCCCATCTGATTCTTGCTGCCTGTTCTCAGTCTATCTGAGGATGCTTCAAGCTTAACATCTAAAAATCTCACTGGTAGAACTGGCAGACACTGGGTTTATAATTTTGCTTTAACCATTAACCTGTATTTTGTTTGTATAATTATCACTTACTAATCACCTGACTAAGCAAAACAGAATCTGTATGATGATTAACACTGCCTATTACACAATGAAGGCCTTAAATGATTCTCAAAATAACATTATATTATTAAACACTAAAATAACTCAAATGCATTAAACAATTCTTCAAAATAAAATGCCTTAGATATTTTACCTGTTGCACAGGTGGAATTTGTGGTCTCATAAAAACAAAGTGCTGTGTATACATTCAGATTACCACAGAAATATTTCTGAGTTTCTAACTAAAAAATACTCAAATTGGCACTTTAAATGATCCTTCTCTTTCCTTTAATAAGTGGTTGAACTCCTGGACCGAACTAAAGGAAGATTTTTGTCAACTATCAAAGGACTCTTATTTGGGCCTCTTTTTGTTACTTTAATCATGTTTTGCTGTTTTCTCCCATGTCTCTCCACCTGGTGCCGAGACTCCTTCAATGCTATGACTTCAAGCCAACAGATGATCCTTTCTCCTCAAGAAAACTCCCATATGATATCCACTCTAGATATTGTTGCAGTTAGCCTTTTCTAACTCCTATTAAATTCTCAACAGACTAGCCTTGACCCTTAGGTAAGCCCATCCCTACGCCCTTATTGCAGCATGAAGATGCTACAGAAGATGAGACCTTCTGCCTTTAACAACCTTAAAGATTTAAGGGTCAAAGTTGTTCAGGGGGGGAAATGAGGTAAATAAAGGCAAGAAAAATGTAGTTTAAATTAAATTCCCCTCTAGCCTGCAACCCACTGATAGATGTCAGACACCTGCAGCATGTAACACTCCCCAAGACCTTTATGGTTGCCATAATGCCTTAACGTTTACACTTCCTTAAAAACTAGGGGCACCTGGGTGGCTCAGTGCATCTGACTTCCGCTCAGATCATGGGCTCACAGTTCCTGGGTTCGAGACCCGTGTGAGTCTCTGTGCTGACAGCTCAGAGCCTGAAACCTGCTTCAGATTCTGTCTCCCTCTCTCTCTGCCCCTCCCCCACTCTCACTTTGTCTCTCTCCCTCTGTCTCTCTCTTAAAAATAAACATTAAAAAAAAAAAAACTAAACTAAAAGCAACCTTATCTTGAGAATGGCTAAATCTTCAGGGTCCTGTGAGACCCTACTTTCAGCATCCAGAAATTCCTTGGAGACCTAAGTTAGCTATACCCCCCTCCGTTCACAAACTTGAAAGTATATCATCAGTCGCATCTCACAGTCCCAGCGCAGCTCTTTCTGCCCATAGGTCCTGTTAACGTGCTTTAATAAAATCACCTTTTTTGCACCAAAGATGTCTCAATTATTCTTTCTTAGCCGTTTTCTTGCGAACCCCACTTCAAATTTCATCACTGGTATGGCTAGCCTGGTAGTGCTTCCCCTGGAAGCACTAGACTCATCTGGGCCCAAGAAGCTGCTGAGGATAACTAATAGAGACAACAGCCACACCTACACCAAAGATTGCACTGCCACCACGGGCAACTTTGCCAAGGTCACCTTTTATGCCATCTCTAAGATCTATGGCTATCTCAACAAGACAGTGTTATGCCCAGAATTCGTGATCCCCAAAGACCACTAGGGAGCCGAGTCCGATGCAAAAGCAAAGAGCCTTTATTCGAGCTAGCTCGAGCTCAATCCCCTACCTGCACCGAGGCAGCAGTGAGATACCAGGGAAAGAGAGCGAGTTTCAAAAGGACAAAGGTTTTATTGGGGCCTGGGGGCAGTTGGTGAGGTAATGGCTATGGCCTCAGCCGATTGGCTGGGGAAGGGTCCTGGGGAAGGGTCCGAGTCCTGTTAGGCAGGTGAGGGGGGTTACTCAAGGGGAGGAGGTGTGGTCAAGGTGAAGGACACAGAACAAGATGGAGTCGGCTGGCGTAGGCCCGCCCTTTCAACAGCCTCTAGAAAGTGGCCCCGTTCACCAAGTTTCCCTAACAGGAGTTCATGAACCTTCTAGTAAAACACAGAAGAGTCTCCATGCAGAGGATCCAGTCTCCAGCTGTTGCCACCACAGTGTTTTCATACGAGGTAATTAAAAGTGAATTGATAAGCCTATAAAAAAAATCACCTGTGAGATGTGTAACTATAGGATCCTGGACCTCATCATCAAATGTTATGATTCAAAATGTAGTGCTGCTGCTGCCTGATTCTCAGACCACACTGAGGCACTCTAAAGCAGTGTTGTATTATTATTTTTCAGACGTTCAGCAAGATCATGCAGAAAAAGGTCTCTTATTGCCCCATACAGACAGGTAATTTGATCAGCCAATTACCATCTTGAAAAACCAAGAGTCTGGTCCCATGAAGCTTATAAATACCCGGCACAGACTCCTAATGGCGGAGGTCCTAAGACCACCAGCCAGCCAAGTCTAGAATTTTGGCAAGCCTGCAAGGGGCCCGGTGCTTCCCTCAAGTCAACAAGTATTATTCACCTAATATTAATACCTAATCGGTATTAACTCCCTTTTTAATTTTTAACTTCCTGATATTCTGCATTCAGTGAATAAGTTCTTGATTTCTAACACAAAATCTTGTTTTCACTTGCCCAAGTTCAGGCCTTGATAACTGTCCTCCACTAGTTGAATGGTCTAAATGGCCTCTCTTACCTCCTTAGAATTCCACTCGCAAACCCTATTTAGAGTTCAAAATCCTTCAGAGATTTCCCATCTCCAAAAACCAAGTTCGTAAATTTCAACAGCTCAGACTATCATCCCGTTGAAATGTTGGTTATTACACAGTATTTCATGACTTCTGGAAAATGGCATAGCAGGAATTCAAATCAAATACTACTTGGGTGGCTGCGACTCTGAAGAGGGGAGTGTTGCAACGCTGGGCTACGCTCCGCCCCGCCTGCTCGAGGGCTGGCAGGTCTTCTGGCTTCCGGCTACGCAGCCGGGCGCTTTTATCCCCATTAAGCCGAGTGGGACCGTGAAAGACTGTCAGCTCGCGGGGAACTCCGCCCTAGAGTCGCCGAGGAGTGGCGTCCTGCGCCCCTGCCTCCCTTCGCCGTCCCAGCCATGGCTGCACGCCTGCTCCGCAGCTCCCTGCGCATGTGGGGTGGCCGGTGTGCCCTGCGTTCACCGCCGTCCGCGAGGTCAGTGCCCGCCGGGCTCCAGCTGAACGGCCCGGGGGTAGGGGGTGGTCTACGGGGTAGGGGCGGCGACACCTGCCCTTCCTGGGGACCCTGAACGCGGCGGCGAGCAAGGCGCGCCAGTCTGGGCCGGAGACTCTGCGGGTAGGGGCTGGGCCTGGTGGGACCCACGTCGGCGAGGGCGGGCGGGGGTGTCGGCCGTGACCGCCTCACCGCGGGGTTGCTCGAGTTCGGGCTGCAACCTTTCATCTTAGAAAGGTGGCTGAAGGCCGCGTCCTGATTGTGAACGGGTCACTGGGACTCCCCGACTGGCAGATCTGGAGATCGCAGGAGCACCCTTTGCGAAGCCTATGTGGAGGAGTGCCCCGAAGAAGGCAGCCTGGGACAGCAAAGACCTGACACCAGCCCCATCACACAACGACATTGAGATTTATTTAACAAATCCTTTAATTAATTAATTCCAGGAGAGTTAATAGAGTTTCTAAGTGGCTCTGTGCCTATTAAGGTAGTGTTTATAAGATCAAAAGTTTAGATCATATAAAATCCATTCATCGGATAAACTGGAAGCATCCGGGATTCGCTATTAAGGAGAATGACAGGAATGATAAACTAGCTCATTATAACATTGGTGGAACTCTGAGATGCTATGGGAGAGGAAACGTGTGTTATTCCTGAGGATAGTTGGGAGGACTTCACCGAGGCGGTGACCTGACTTTAGGATGCACATACTTTTCTAAACTCTTCCCCAGAACGTCATAAGAGTGTGAGCCTCAGATTTTTGGTGTCACTACTTTTTTATGCTCTGAAAGTTAAAGGACCACCTCAGAGATTGTTTTTATTTGGGGGGTTGTATCTATCCATATGGGTATCAAAAGATATCTACAAAACAAATTGTACAAGTACATAATTTAGTTCATTAAAAGGAACAATAGAGATTATGGTAAGTGAAGTAAGTCAGACAGATACTGTATGATTTCACTTAGAAGTTGACTCTTACAGAAAACAAGCAAAAAAAAAAAAAAAGACACACAGTCTCTCTAGACACAGAGAACAGATTTGTGGTTGGGGGCAGGGCGTGGAAATGGGTGAAGGGGGTCAAAAGGTACAAACTTCCAGCTATAAAGTACCATGGGAATGTAATGTACAGCTCAGTGACTATAGTTAATACTGCATGTATATTTTAAAGTTGTTAAAAGAGTATACCTTAAAAGTTGTCATTAGAAGGAAAAAATGAGTATGTGTAGTGATGGATGTTAACTAGACTTACCGTGTTGATTATTTACAGCGAATACATATATTGAAATCATGTGCATCTGAAACTACTGTAATGGTAATATGTCAATTATATCTCAATAATAAATAAGTAAAAGTAACAATAATAAGCCCATTACATGTTAACATAAATAACATTTTTATGAAAAATAGCTTTTTCAAAACAAGAAGAGAGACATTATTTACATTTTCATGGATTCTTTAATGTCTGATTTAGTAGAAGACAGCCCAATTCTCATATCTGTTTCTGCATTATGTCTGTTGGGGTAAGTTATTATGGTTGAAGTATAGGAAGAAAATCTCACAGGGAATTTTGGGAAAAGGAGGACCTGAGGGACCATCTGAATAGGCTTGGGACTGTTGTATTATAGCAGGCTTCTTAATGTGCATATGGATGATTCAGGGATGTTGTTAAAAATATAGATTCTGGGGTGCCTGGGTGGCTCAGTCAGTTAAGCATCCAACTCCTGATTTCAGCTCAGGTCATGATCTCACGGTTTGTGAGTTCGAGCCCCACATAGGGCTCTGCACTGACAGTGTGAAACCTGCTTGGGATTCTCTCTCCCTCTCTTTACCCCTTCCCTGCTCATGCTGTCTCTTTCTCTCTCAAAATAAATAAATAAAACTTAAAAAAATTAAAAGAATACAGATTCGATTCAGTAGATCTGGGGTGAGATCTGAAATTGTATATTTGTAACCAGTTCCCAAGTATTGCTGAAGGTGTTGGTGGAAGCTGTCTCCCTTCTATAATGTAAATGAAGTTTTTTAAAAATAACAATTAGGGGCGCCTGGGTGGCTCAGTCGGTCGGACTTCAGCTCAGGTCATGATCTCACAGATCGTGAGTTCGAGCTCCGCATCAGGCTCTGTGCTGACAGCTCAGAGCCTGGAGCCTGCTTCGGATTCTGTGTCTCCCTTTCTCTCTGCCCCTAACCCACTCACATTCTGTCTCCGTCTCTCTCAAAAATAAATAAACATTTAAAAAAATGTAAAACTAACAATTAGAGCTTAGCCTGTTAAATTGGTAGAAATTTCTTTTTGTATAGATTTCCTGGTCTTTATAGGGAGAAAAGGGGCCAATTTATTCAGTGAAGTTTTCTTGGTCTTCAAGAAATGGATGTACCAACATACTTGGTGCAGGTGTTTTGGTTTTCTTCTCCATATGCTCTCTTGAATACTTCTGACTGACCTGAAAGTCTTTATTCTTTCTGTCACTGCTTTCACTTTCTAATGTCTTGGTGTATTTAACTTAGAAATATTCCAATATTCCAAATATTCCAATATTTTCTTAAGGTAATATAGGATATAAAATTTTAAGATCCAGGCAGACTGGAATATAAATTCCATTCTGTTATTTGTTAACTATGTTACCAAATGATTCAGTGTTGCTGAGCACCAGTTGCCTAATCTCAGCACATTTTTTTCCTGAGGAAAAATTCTCAGTATGGAAAAGAAAAGCTGTGTGGACAAAAGCGTGCATGATAGTTTTATTTCCACTAGCAGGAAATTGCAACCAATCATTTCAATTAGAGGATAAAGTAAATTTTAGTCTATTTGATGTAACGTTATAGTGGTATGTAAGACCCCTGTACATCCTGATCTTGTTACCTCTCACTTCATCTACTGTTTGCACTCAATCCACACTTGGTGTCCCTGCTCTTTCTAGAATGCATCAGATACCATCGTGCCTGACACCTTTTGCTCTAATTGATTTCTTTCTTTTTTTTTTTTTTTAATTTTTTTAGTGTTTATTTTTGAGAGAGACAGGTAGAGCATGAGCAGGGGGAAGGGCAGAGAGAGAAGGAGACACAGGATCTGAAGCAGGCTCCAGGCTCCAAGCTGTCAGCACAGAGCCCAATGTGGGGTTCGAACCCACGAACCGAGAGATCATGACCTGAACTGCAGTCAGATGCTTAACTGACTGAGCCACCCATGCACCCAGCTCTAATTGTTTTCTTGACTTAAATTCTACTGAGAAATCTGCTTGACTGTCACCTTGAGACGTTTGCTCAAATTCTCATTTTTCTAACTTAACCTACCCTGACTGCACTATTCCATGCTGCAGCCAATGTCCCAGCCTTGTTCCAGACACACACTCTGATCTTTACTCTGCTTTTCTTTTCCATAGAATTTATCATCTTCTCATATATGCTTTAATTTGCTTCCTTACTATAAATAGTATAGTTATTCAGACTCCCCTTCTAGAAATGTGAGTCTGGAGACAGGCATCTTTATTTTGCTCACTGTTGTATCCCAAGTTACCTGAACAGTGCTTGGTACATAAAGGGTACTCAAAGTATTTGTTGACCAAATGAATGAATACGCTATTAAAAATGATGATTTGGATGAATGGGTAGTAACTAAGAAGGCAAAAGGCAGACTAAGTATAAAATGTGTAGTACTGCATGTTCACAACCAACGACTACTACCTAAAAGGCATCTCAAATTATATTCATAAACTCCACTAAAAGTTGCATATAAAAGATAAACCTAAAGCACAATGACAGAAAGTGCATGTTAAATGTATTACTCAGCTCATGCTGCCATAACAAAATACCATAGACTGGGTGGCCTAAATAACAAATTTATTTCTCATAGTTCTAAAGGCTGGATAACCCAAGATCAAAGTGCTGGTGAGAGTGCTATTTCTTGTTTGTAGATGGCTGCCTTCTTTCTGTATCTTCACATGGTCTTTCCTTGTTTCATGCACACTGGGAGAGCGAGACAGAGAGAGAGAGAGATCTCTCTTCCTGTTATAAGGCCACATATCCTCTTGGATTAGGATCCCACCCACATGACTTCATTTAACTAACTCAGTAAAATCACAGTGGGAGTTAGAGCTTCAACATGAATTTGGGAGGGACACAACTCAATTCATAGCGTTAAATGAAAATGCATAAAGTAAAAATAATTCATTTCATGGGGAAAAAAAGGTTGAGACAACCTAATTGCCCATAAACAAGACTGTCTTTTAAACAAAAATGTGAAGAAGAAGAGGAGGAGGAAAGGAAAGAGAAAACAAACAAACAAGGGTCCATTTAAGGAAGAGAGAAACCCCAAACAGCATTTCATGCAAAACAGAAAAACATCCTTTGCTAATATTTGGATATATGGTAAAAAGTTTTGTTTTGTTTTGTTTTTTAAATATGAGCTTGAATTATACAAAGTGACACACAGATTTTCAGAACTTTTCAGGAGTACCCCAAGAGGGAAATAAATCTGAAGACCATTGAACTAAAAGGAACTACAAAACAGTCTTATTTTAAGTGTAATATGAGGGGGGTATGGAGAGGGAAGGGTCAGTTTCCGAAGATCTTGAATAATTCTGTACTAATCCTTACAGAGATTCATGGACATTTTTTTTTTTAATTTATACCCAGGTTGCCTCTAATATGGCAGTAACATCACCATAGTTGTATCTTACACACCTGCCATTTCAAATTGTGTGATTCTGAATGAAATAGTAATTTGGAAATGTTAATATCATCTTAAATATTGTACGTGACATGAAAACTTATCAATATGCTATGGTGGTACTGTATAAAATAGTAATTTGGAAATGTTAATATCTTAAATATTGTACATGACATGAACACTTATCAATATTCTCTGGTGGTTTTGGAATTTTTACATCATTTAATTTGCATTTACCTCAACTCAGACATGTTGGTTAGTCATGGGTTTGGAAGTGAAGAGTGAGCTGAGTAAGGACATACTACTTGATCTTATCCAGGTGAGGTAGATCCTATCAAAAGTGGTAATGTTCAGATTTGAACAGGTCTGTCGAATTTCACACTCTTCCTACCTACCTCTATAGTGTCTCTGGGGGAAATAAAATCAGCATTTTTCCATGTTGTTCGGTAGCATTAATTTGGGTATGAAGGGTCACAATTTCACTTAATTTTCTTAATGTATATGTATATTTTAAAGATGTTCTCATTCCGGAGAGGAGAAACGTCTAGAAACTCCTTCTGCTGAAAAATTAACAGATATAGGAACTCGAAGAATCTTTTCTTCAGAACATGACATTTTCCGGGAAAGTGTAAGGAAGTTTTTTCAAGAAGAAGTGATTCCTCACCATGCAGAGTAAGTGGTACATTTTTCTTTAAAGTAATTTGCATAAAGAGAACATTGAGAACCATTTCCTAGGGTCGCCTAGGTGGCTCAGTCGGTTAAGTGTCTGACTCTTGATTTTGGCTCAGGTCATGATCTCAGGGTTCATGAGTTCGAGCCCTGAGTCAGGCTCTGCACAGACAACACATGGCCTGTTTGGGATTCTGTCTCTCCCTACCCCTCTCCCTCTCACATGTTCCATATGCCTCTCTCTCTTTCTTCTCTCGCTCTCAAAATAAATAAATTTAAAAAAGAAAAAAACAAACCATTTCCTAGAATGTCGTATGTTGTTCTACAGAAAATATACTGTATTAATTGCTTTATTAACATTTTGCTGTTCTTAACTGTAATACTCTAAGATCTCAGGATTCTTAAATTAGTCCAAAGCTATTTAAATGAATTTTAAAATATACAATTAAAATTAAGTAAATTTGAAAATGTGCAGCTCTTAGATTGAGAAATACTCTGGTTAAATGGCAATTAAGTAATTACTAGTCAATTCCAAATGTTTTTTTTCTGCTTCATGAGTGAATTAAAACGAAAGCTCATGAAAGCTCAACAGGCCAGTTGACAAATCTTGGTTGGCAATGGACCACCTTAAAGTATTTTTACTACTGGATGAGATGTATATTGATTAACTGCTTAATTACTGGTCACCTACTTTTTTGACCAAAACACTGTAATTTCTATGAAAGTAGGATTTTGCTATATTTCTAAAATTCATTCACTGCCAGCAATTTACTATAATTAAAGTGTTTTTTAAAACATTTTTAAATATCTTCCATTAAGATTTCATTAATGCTTTCGCTATAAAAATGACCAAAATTAGCTAAACCTAATGCCATGACTAGTCTTTGGTGAAAAGCAACTATTTCTAAAAAGAAAGAAAAAGAAAGAAAGAAAGAAAGAAAGAAAGAAAGAAAGAAAGAAAGAAAGAAAGAAAGAAAGAAAGAAATTTATTATGGTACACTCTAGGAGAATCTTTTTTGTTCATTACTCTACTGATTCGAAACTTTGTTCCAGAAAAATTATTGATGAAGATTTGAAGTAAAAATGATAGAAGTTGACAGATTTGAGATTAATGATAAAAATGTTTCCAAAGCTAATTTAGGCAATATGTACATCAAAACATACATGATAATCAAACTCTTTTAAAATTTCTTGAAGCATCTGTGTTTCCCTTTCATCAGTATCTTCAAAAATATACAGGGGCGCCTGGGTGGCGCAGTCGGTTAGGCGTCCGACTTCAGCCAGGTCACGATCTCGCGGTCTGTGAGTTCGAGCCCCGCGTCAGGCTCTGGGCTGATGGCTCAGAGCCTGGAGCCTGTTTCTGATTCTGTGTCTCCCTCTCTCTCTGCCCCTCCCCCGTTCATGCTCTGTCTCTCTCTGTCCCAAAAATAAAAAAAATTAAAAAAAACAAAAAAAAAAAAAAACGTAGAAAAAAAAATATACCTCATTTTTGGTAAGTATATCTAACTCGCACTTAAAAAAATAAAACAAAAATTATCAGATTCTTTATTTCCAACTAGCTCTTTCCTCATCATGCCTGTCTCATTTTGTAAAAATGTTTATTTATTTTGAGAGAGAGAAAGAATGAGCGAGCGCACGTGTGAGCAGAGCAGGGGCAGAGGGAGAGAGGGAGAGAATCCCAAGTCGTCAGCACAGAGCCCAATGCAGCGTTCCATCTCACAAACTGTGAGATCATGACCTGAGCTGAAATCATGAGTCAGACACTTAACAGTTTAACGGACCTCACCACCCAGGCGCTCTGCTATTCTTGTTTTTAAAAAAGCAGAGGTTGCACAATCTTATTCGAATGTCTACTCTTTTCAGAAGTTCATTGGACAGCAGTTGTGCTGCAAGATGCTTATGTGCTTCTGTTGTTCCAACTTAAACTGTAATAAGATTGCCTGCTCTTGTCACCTTTTTATGTGCTCATCCCGTTAAGTTCAGCACTTTAAGGAAATATACAGAGGGCTATTGCCTTTATAGGATAAGTTGGACAAATTCCCATGACTATATGACACAACTAAGATTCCATCTTTTTTTTTTTTTAATTTTTTTTTTCAACGTTTATTTATTTTTGGGACAGAGAGAGACAGAGCATGAACAGGCGAGGGGCAGAGAGAGAGGGAGACACAGAATCAGAAACAGGCTCCAGGCTCTGAGCCATCAGCCCAGAGCCCGACGCGGGGCTCGAACTCACGGACAGTGAGATCGTGACCTGGTTGAAGTCGGACGCTTAACCGTCTGCGCCACCCAGGCGCCCCTAAGATTCCATCTTAAGGGGACCAGCTGAGACAAACTGTACCCATGAATGTCAGTACATGTAATTTGTAGGTCTGATGAAAAGTCAAGGGAGGAGAACAGTGGCAAATATGAAGAAGTAAAGAAGAGAATAAGGAGAGAAATGATGAAAGAGTCCAATGCAAATAGAAAGTTATGGCCAATGTCAACAACAATTACCTTAAAGGAACATTCCTGTACAAGATCATTCATAAATTCAAATTATGACCATTTAAATAACATGAAAAAAGCTTCTCTGATTTTAAAATGTTTGCTATTTGCAGATGGGAGAAAGCTGGAGAAGTGAGCAGGGAGCTTTGGGAAAAAGCTGGCAAACAAGGACTTCTCGGTGTCAATATTGCAAAGCATCATGGTGGTATTGGTGGAGACTTGTATTCAGCAGCTATAATGTGGGAAGAACAGTGAGTATGCAGACATTTGAAGTGGAATCATGTTTTGTAAGCACACTGCTCACTTTTCTGAGATGATAAAATATGCTTTCTAATCTTATAATATTGAAAACTAAAATGCGAATGAATATGTGTATCATTTGCACATTTTTAATGTGTGAAGATAGGAAAATGCCCTATTAAGTTATTAAAATAGTTGCTGCTGAAAATCAGAGATTGCTTCATTTCTAATTGCCTTATGTGTTCATTTTCTTCTTTTAAAAAAAAAAAAGGTGGAAAAATATCCCCATCAAATATACTTAAAGTTTAATATATAAGAAGAAATAAAGATTTCAGTTGATGAATAGGCAAAAGATTTGAACCAACAGTTCATCAAAACAAAATACAAATAGGTTCTTTTATTTTTTTATTAAAAAA